ATTGATTGACTCAGACCCATAAGTCTAAGAAGAAATTATGAGGAAGCTCACCAATATCTGATAGTGTGAGAATATGGTATGGGAAGATGAACTTGAAGTTTCAGCAGCCTTATTTCTTAGGCGGTTGAACAGTTTCTGCTGTAGCATTGACACTGTCACAACGTAGGTTCGATGTCTAGCAGAACTCAATGAAGCAGAAAAGTGTTTTATACACGTATTTTCCTTGGGCACATTTTGAATTCTGGATTTGGGATAGCTCCAGGTTAGCAAAAGTTGCTGGCATTGCAGCTGTAGATGGGTCTTGTTGATTGTCCATGCTGTTTTACACTAATAATTTCTGTTTAGTTTTCTTTTACATAGCCTCTAACAATGCCCTCAGCCTCTGCTGTCTCAGAGTTTGAGTTGTCCAAGGCCAGAGTGAGTTTTCTTGTTCTTAAAAGAAGATAAAGTAAGAAGAAGCAAACCCATTTACTCTTCAATGTTATCTTTGGAGTTGGGATCTAATGACAGTATAGTTAGAGTTATCTGGAAAATAAGACTTATTATCTCTTATTTGTCTTTTGTAGTCTTTGGTTTCTTTTTTTTTTTTTTCCCAACATTTTAGTTTGTCTTCTAGTAATCCTTGCCTTTTGTCTTCTTGTGTCTTTCTTTTTGTTTTTTCCTGTTTTGTTTTGCTTGGCATAGTAGTTAAGAAAAGATCAGGAATGTAGGTTTTAAAAAAAAGGACCCAGGTATTCCACTAAAGGTTGTAAATATTCCCTGCTTTAAACTCAACAATTAGTTTCCTGAATACATCTTAACTGTGTATTTATCATGCAGAATAAGGAGAATATTCTACTAGACTTCACAGAATTATTGAATTGAAAGAGATTTCTGAGTCCAACTTGGTCTAATGTCCATGCTCAAGCAGGACCACCAAAAGTAGTTTTTCAGGACCATGTCCAGGTAGCTTTTGAAGATCTCCAAGGAGGAGACTCTACAGCCTCTGGGCAACCTGTGCCACTGCACAGTAAAAATGTGTTTTCTGATATTCAGAGGGAACCTCTTGTGTTTCAGTTTGTACCCATTGCTTCTTGCCCTGGCGTTGTACAGGAGTGGGGAAGGATCACTTCTCTTGACTGTGCTATGGTTGAGGTCATGCTTTGGAGGGATATGAGACAGGCGAAGAGAAAATTAAGAAGCTGAACTTTAGGAAAGCTAAACTCTAGTTCTTCAGGGAGTTAGTCAGCTAAACAGCCTAGGAAACTAAGGTGTGAAGCAGAGCTGGCAAATGCTTAAGCAGGCTTTCCTTAGGGCATAAGAGATCTCCATCCTCAGGTGTGTAGCAAGTCAGAAAGGGAAGGGAAGAGACTGGCATGGCTGAACCAGGACATGCTGGTCAAACTGAAGAACAAGAAGAAAATGCACGGGCAGTGGAAATGGGCAGGTACTATGGGAAGAGTATAAGGAAGTTGCTATGCTCTGTAGGGATGGGGTCAAAAAAGCCAAGGCCCAGTTTGAACTGAACTTGGCAAAGATGCCAAAAAGAACAAGAAGGGCTTTCAACCAGAAAAGGGAAGTCCAGGAGGTCCTTCCCCTCTCCTTCCCCCCCAAGAAAGCTTAAGTCCACTGTATCATGGACTGCATCAAAAGAATTATTGGACAGCAGGTCAAGGAAGGTGATCCTGCCCCTCTGCTTCACACTGGTGAGTCTCATGTGGAGCACTGTGAAGTCCTCAGTACAGAAGAGACGCAGACCTGTTGGAGTACATCCACAGAATAGAAGACCTCTCATATGATGGCAGGTTGAGAGGGCTGGGGCTGTTCAGCCAGGAGAAGAGAAGATTCCAAGGTGACCTGATAGCGGCCTTTCAGTATCTAACGGGGAGCTACAAAAACAGACAGACTCTTTAGCAGGTCTGTTGCCTATACATCAACAGCTTGTCTCCTCCCTGCTCTCAGGATCCTGAACTCCACTATGTCATAATCATTGCAGCCAAGGCTACCTTTGATCCTGACATTTCCAACAAGCCTCTTATTGGTGGTGAACTTCTTGAATTGCCTGTATCTTGCTATGTTCCCTTCAGTAAATACTAGGAGGTTGAAGTCCTCCTTGAGGACCGGTGCCTCCAATAGTGAGGTTGTTCCCATCTGTCTGTAGAAGGCCTCACCCGCTTGTTCTTTCTGGTCAGACACTGTGTGACCTTTACCTGTGCTCACCCATAAGCTTACAATCAGTTCCTAATTCATCCCTAGGCAGAGCTTCATGCTCTGCAGCTGTGCTGTCATATAAAAAGCACCTTCCTTTACCAACCCGTCCTTCCTAGAGAGTCTTTATCCCTTCATGGCATCACTTTAGTCATGGGAGTTGTCTCACTATGAATGCCAGGAGGACTGTAGCCCTGTGACTAAGCTCTCGGAAAGTCTTAACATTTTAGTCAGGATATAAAACTGGAAATTTCAATTTCCTTGGATTTCTTTTTCTTTTTTAGAGCTAGCATGTCCAACAGGCTTTGTGGTGCAGGTACAGACTGCTTCAAATTATCTTAAAAGCTTTATCTTAAGTGTTAGAACCTAGTATCTATAAGGTATTTTTAAAAATAGAGTTTGAAAAGTAAATAATTAAGTTTCTCTACATTTATATTACTCATAAAGGGACTCTGGATTATTTGAGATTTTTAGTCACCTCAGCAAAAAGTGTGTTTATAGATATTGTACAATAAAGAAAAAAAAGAAAAGTGTAGAAATGAAGTTTTCTGTTACGCAGTTTAAAAATGGCACTGTGCTTGAGGTTGTGAAAGGATGAGAACTAAAGCAAAGGATATTTCTAGCCTGTCCTTACCAGTCTAAAATAAATGAACTATGTAAATAAAACTCAGTTGACAAAAGTAAATTGTATGTTTCTGTCTCTTATTGTATGTTTCTGTCTCTTTGATCGCTTAATATGCAAGAGTGCTCACTTTTCATTCTATTTTTGGAATAAATAGCTAAGCAAATTGAAAAAAAAATCAGGTTTTAGTGAATTCTCACAGTGATAGTTCTGTGGTTTGTTTTTTCTTGTATGGAGCCTGAAAAATTGTTATCAAGTGGGCATCAGTAAATATTGAAGGAGATCTGTATTCTGTTAAGGCTTTTTGAAGCCTTTGAAGAAAATTATTTTGGGAGAACTTAGAATTTATGCCCTCATGACAGATGATTTGTTTAACCCCTGGTTTTTGCCAGAAGAAGCAGATTGCTTGTAAATTTGCTTGTCTCCCTGTATTGAATTTCATATATGTCTTCTCATAGTAACATATAGCTTTTACTAATGCATAATTAAATTTCTGTATTTATCTATCTTAACAATAGTGGGATAAGTTGTCAAGGACAGTTGTGCGTGTTTTGCTCTGGTTGGGTGAGGATGCCTGGTTGCCAGCCAGTTGCTTAAGGGGAAGCCCACTCCTCCTTTGCCTTGCCTGGGCAGCAGGAGATGTTGAAGTAATTTGATGAGAGGTAGAGAACTGTAAATGTGAGAAGGTCTTCCTCCTTGCTAGAGTTAGGTGGTCATTTGTCTTGCAGTCTCACCAAAGGCTTGCATCACCTATGTTACTATAACTAGATGCAAACTTACAACATTGCTGTTTTCATCCTTTATTAGGGTCTGAAAACCCCGCTTGGGAGGCGATGGTGGGAGCTCAAGCACAGAATGTGGCATGGCAAGAAAAGATGGCCTGAGTGAGAGTGCAGGGCTGTACAAAGTTAGGGTAAAATGCTGTTGGGCACTTGGTGTGTGTGCACAGCTGTGAGTAGACTGCCAGGATGAGACCAGGGTGCCTGTGCCCATTTTGCAGGCAGGGTAGGTATGGTGTGGCTAACTATCATGAGCTCCCAACTGTCCTGCTGGTGTTGTTAAGTGTCTCTGCCCATTGCCATACAGTCTGTGGCATTGTCAAGAAAATTAAAGGTCCATCTAGCACTTTGAGTAATACTGAGCAGAATTTAGGCATTGCACAATGTAACTAAGTACTTATTAAAAGAAAAAGAAAAAAAAAATTCAAAATCAGGGTTACCAAATTGTGCATTTCCTGTCTTGGAAATTCCAAAATTCACGTGAGTTGTGCAGGTATCCCAGGTACTGGTTGCATATTTGAGTGAGGCTTTGCAGTGTTGTTCAGGGAGAATGCACTGACTTCTTATTGTTTGGTATTGCATTTTATTACTTTGTTAATCAACTAATGCAATAGTGATAAGAGTTACTGAAATTAGCATCTGTAACAGATGACAATATTTTCCACATACAACTCTGTGGTGTACTTTGCTTTTGTGTTCTCTGTGGAGGATGGAAAAGACAGCAGTCTTCGTCCTGATAATGGTTTCTCAAATTCTCCCATTGCAGAACCTGTTCTGTGATGTGTTTTTTGTTTGTTTGTTTGTTTTTTTTTCCAGAAGGTGGACCAGAACACTTTATTTCCAATAAATCTATCAAGTATTCATTTGATGCCCACTGAGGTGAGGCAGATGTTTTTCTGACTCAGAAACAGTCAAAATAGCAACTCTCTGGTTTCCTAATTTATGTTAGTATTTCACATTGTTTGTTCCCTGCTAGCAGGTCCTTACTCTTAAATTTTTCTATCCTTTGGGAGAGCAGGAGCTTATCTCTTTCCTTTTCTCTGCCTTTGCACTAATTATGTGTGTTAACAGGAAGGTTCACGGCTCTCTGTTTGTAGTTGTGCTCTGCCAAACTGAGAGGAGCTCTGTTAATTTTACTTTTACTGCAGTTGCCTTGTTTTCAGTCACCAGTACAAATATGGAAAACTCATGCACATGGTGTACATATTATTTTACTCCACTTAATCAGAAGTTGATTTAAAAACAAGCACAATGTTTAAGTGAAATTAAGTCATTTAAATTTATCTCAGAAAATTTTCAGCAATTTTACTGAAAACTGAAAAGTAGACTTGCAGTCACTTTAATTAGTTTAATTATTTAAGTAAGCTTTTCAAGTTTATTTTTGCATTATAAATTTTGCATTTGTAACTGTTCTTGTTTTCAAGATTTGCAGCTCATATTTTGTTACAAAGCCTAAAGCATTATGAGGCAAACTTTCCAAAAATACAAAACACTCAAGTCTAATGAGAGAAAGTGAACACGATGGAGGTGTGCTACTTTGGAAATCAGGCCATTGTATGGTCTTTTTTTTGCTCCTTCTACCCCTATGTTACATAAAAACAGTTTCTAATAGATCGTGAGTGACTTCCTAGTAGATGTGAATTAAGGAGTTATTTTAATTTTCAGCGCAGGGAAGAAGGATAAGAGGAGGAGTAATTAAATTGAAAGCTAAATTAAAGGACGGGGTCCTGAGTGCATTTTAGTCATTATTTAAACTAACAAGAGTAGGAACATCTTGCGTGATTTGGCACTAAGCGTTCACTGTGGTCTGTCACACCCCTTTTTTAATATGCAAAACTTTACCTAAGGTCAACAAATAATTTCCTCTCAGTCAAACTTAATAATATGAAAAGGCTGTGTCTTGCAAACTTATACATGAAAGGACATATTTCTGCTTTGAGGAATTCCCTGGCTCACAGCAGGGTAAGCACTAACTCAGCCAGGTATTTTGTCTTCTTCAGAAGGTAATATTATGTGTTTTATTGCCATTTTGCTTTTCTGTAGGTAGGTGACCTAGGCTAGAAGTATAACCGTGGCTTTGGGAAGACTCAGGATTGTTTATAATGAAGATTTCCTAAGCCCCAAAAATTTACAGGAATTCAGAAGACTGCTCTGGAAACATTACTTGACATTTGTTATTGGGATTGGTGCTGAACTATTTTGTTCCAACTGTTTGGGGGGGAAAAAATGTTTAAGGGAAATGATTATTGCTTTGAGACTTTTCATTGTGGCTTGAAAAGAAAGTATAGTATTGAAATAATGCTGTGGAATTGTTTCTTCTAACTGCTGTTTTTCCCCTGACCTTTCCATTAAAATAAGATTAGTAGGCTGCCTTGAAAGTAATCATTTAATTACTGTTTCTTCTTTAAATACTTACCTGTAAGACTGTCTGCATCACAATGTGCATGGTATTTCTGTAATTCTGATGCATGGGTGCTCTTAATGTTTTGGATAGCAAAGCACAAAGTTGCTTGACTGTATGTAAACAGGAAAGGTACAATACAAAAAAGCCTAGTAAGGTTAATTGAAATTACAGTGACTCGAGAAACGATTTTTTTGTATTTTCCATTACCATAGTTAAATCTGACCCAAACTGAGAATTAAATAATGATGATAATAAAATACAATGCTTTGCTTGAGCAAGTTGTATTTTTAATTTTTTTTCTGGTTAGGCAAAAGATTTGTAGGAAGAACAAAGTTATTTTTTAACTTTATCTGTAATCATTCAGTAAAACAGATGTAAAAGCTTCTGATGTCTTCTACTCCATCATGTTATTTCTAGTTCACAGTGAATCCTTTCTGCAGTTTCCAGAGGTTCTTAGCCTATGCTTGTTTATCTTGTGGAGGGACGTTGGCACTAGATACCACCCTCTCTCCCTAGAGATATTCTCACTGCAGCTTTTCATAGCTTTTATGTCTGGCATCTTCGGGTACTGCCCTGTTTAAACGGCACTTAGGGTTTTGAAATGCTCAGTACCCTGCTGCAAAGTGCAGCTTGCATTTTGTGCACTCCTACCCCTAAAATGTACAGCCCCGTGGAGAACTCCAAACAGTTACCAAAACACATTAATTTAGTGGGTGATAAATGCATCCCCCTCTCACCAGTCTACTGAAGGTAAATACTTGCAAGACCCTTTACCAAGGAGTGATCACAGAAAAGTGGAGAATTGAAGGCTTGTGTGAAGATGTCTTTGGAAATTGAATGATAACTGAGGACAGAGCTCTTCTGGGCCTGAGAACAACTGCTTGGAGACAGACTGACTTCCCTATGACTACTGAACACTTCGAATATTTAAGCATTTTCTTCCTTTATTTTTGTATGCTTTTTGTTTTTTTTTTGTTGTTGTTTGTTGTTTGTTATTTTTTTAGCTTTTTGTTAGCTAAATTCCTTTCTACTCCATTCCTGAGTGCATAAAAAGACACTGCTAAAAATGTCATTTCTGCTCATAAGATCCCAATAATGGGAGATGAGGCAGGTTTATATAAATAGCATTTAGCATTAAGCTGCACTTCTTATGTTGTTTGCTTTCTGAAATTAGTCCTACTGGTTTCTTTTTGTCTTTATTTGTGTATTTATCATAGAAGGTGATTTTTCTTTTACTCACTATTTAAAATAAGAAAATATGTACATTGAAGTCAAATTTTGAGCATCAAACATAAGTGACAGCTCAAAATATTCATACCACAGACTCTAGATTGAAGCGACTGCTTACGTTGACTACCTTTTTGTCGTGTAATGTGTGGGGTGTTTTATTTTCACCAATAGATGCACTCTTAATCCAAATTAAGCAGTGTAGGCAGTTGTAGAAGTACTGCAAGATAAGTGCATGCATTATGCTATTTTTGGCAATCCTGTTTGTTTTCTGTTCTACTTCTTGCTCCCCTCCTCTCTCCACAGCATCATTTATTTCTTCAATGAAACTGAAGAATGCGTTCGGTAGCGCTTCTCAGCAGCTCTGCAGCCTGTGGAGAGTGTGGGTAGTCTGTATTTAGCATCCTGGAAAGTGTGTGTCCCCTTGAAGAAGTGATCTGCTGAAAGTAAATACTTACAAGACAGGCTGGAACAATCCTTTTACACTGCTCTCAAAATCTGAAATACCTGGTTTCTGATACTACGTGGAATTTGCATTTCTTTTGCTAAAGAAACGCTACCTGCTGCAGCTATCCAGGGAATCTCAAGGAGCAAGGGAACTGAAGATGACTCTGCTTGCTTTTTATTCAGCTTGGGTTGTTTTGCTGGAATTGGCAGTGGCATTTGGTCCTGTACCAAGAATCACTTGGGAACACAGAGGTAAGAAGAGAAACTTCATTAGTGTAATGTGGGGCATTGCAACATGTGTATGTTCTTCCAGCCTGCCTACAGGAAGTTTGGTCAGTTTGTAGTCCTGCTCAGCCTGTCTGTAGTGCTTTGGACCAGAAAATTCAAAAGTCACTTGGGCTCTGAGTTGACTGATTGCATATCCTCCAAACAGTTATGAAAATGTCACTTTTTAAAAGAGGATTTTCAGATTCAAATTTCTCAGTTGGAGGATCTTGCAGCTGAATCTTGCTCCAAGAAGAAAACTCAGCAGCTATTTTGTTTTCAGTAAGTTATTTTGACTTTAGGCCTGAACAGAATTAAACATTTGGTCCTCTTCTGGCAGTGTTCTGTGATGAGTAGAACCTTTGTAGCCTTTTTCTCAGAACCTTCTTTTGCTGTACTTGGAAGTTGCGGCAAGTAGTTGTAACCTCCCAATACAGTTAGCAGGAGGTGGCAGATGAAGCGATGAAGGATCAGATATTCCTGTAGGCTTATGATGTAATTGTTCAGCCTGGGTCTGAAGAGAGCTGTAGAGTACAGGCTGTAAAGTAGTTGCTTGCTGTTGTTGAACTTTTCTCTTTTTCCTGCACTTTCAAGTATCAGGATATTTTGGCATTTAAAAGATTTTTTAACTTGTGCTTTTACTATTGCTTATGATTAGCAACCCTGGAATGCTGTAACCAAACAAATATGTGGGTACTGTGAGGAAGCAGCCTTAAGTAAAAATGTTAGATGCTGAAGAGTCACACCACAGGGAAAGACGCATGGAGGTTAAGAACGTAGATAGCTGATTTATGAGATGGCTGTAGGATATACTTTATTATTATTATATTTATTATTGCATTGAAGTATGAGAAGCTTTGAATAGAAGTGGAATTTTAGTTCATTGGAGGAATTAACATCTAGAATTGTGTGAACCAACTCATCCATTTAGAAAATATTTTCCTGCAAAGTGAAACATTTTAAAATGCATGCTTGTGAATCTAATTTAAAATAAGTGTTTCCCAAGTTCTACAGATGAAAAGGTGCAATTTTTTGTGTTAGAACTGGGAGTAGTTGTATGTTTTCTGTCTGTCTCTTAAAAATGAAACTAAATTAGACTTCTAGTAGTCTCTTTTACAAAGTCTATCATCCAAATTTTAGTAATTTTTCCATAACAGTTCCATATGCAGAATATTTTTTTCTTGTTTATTAATAATTCTGTCATCTTTCTCCACGCCATTCTGTTCCAGTTTGCATGCCTCTTTCCCTCTTGTCTCCCTCTTTCTTTTGTTTTCTTCCTTTTTATTTTGATTCTCCCTCATTCGTTTATCTTGTGTGCAATTACTTCCAGTCTCCATTCCATTTTCCATTTGAAAATCAGCTTGTTTACACTGTGTACTTAGTTTCTTTTTAGACTGTATCTTCTTTCTGCTGGGGTAATGTCTTGAAATGTCTTCTTTATTGGTGCAGGATTGTTGGTTAGATTTGTGTGGGGAGGGTAAATTCACGTGGTGAATTATTTAATTTTCCACAGTAGGTAGGTATGTGGAAAGGAGAAGGTGAGGAAAGAACTGGCAGGAGAGGTGTGAAATGGATGTTAGGAAAACGAAGAATTAATGACTGCAGAAAATGAAGGAAGACATGAGTTACAGGGATCATTGCAGGAGGAAATTCGTAGGCATTTGAAATTGAACTAGAAAGTAGGGACCATTGATTTCAACGGTAGCATAAATCATGCTGAACCAAGCTTCCAAGGATATATATCAACTGTTACTGTGTTCTCCAAAGTAAGCTTTATTGCTTTCAAAGTTACTTAAAGGCTGTTAGAATAGTTTAGAATAATGACCCATGAACTTGACTCTAAGTGATCATGTTTCTCCATGTCTGCTATTTTCCTTGCATTTCAACAGAGGTCCAACTAACACATTTTCATGAACCTGGAGTGTCAAACTATTCAACCTTGCTGTTAGGTGAGGACAGAGGTGTTCTATACGTAGGAGCCAGAGAAGTCATCTTTGCATTAAATGCAATGAATATTGCTGAAAAACAGCATGAGGTGAGTATGCATTTAAATACATTATCATGCATATAAAAATCGTACTTCCAAGTTTCACTTCATTTCCTGTTATCAATAGCACCGTGCTTGAGATGAGGATCTTGCCTCTTAAGTTTCTGCTTCTGTTCAATGTTTTGAGTTGTGTCTGCACGTTTATGTGATGGTATAAAAAGATATGATCCAGCTCATTTGGAATTAGTTTACCTACAGAAGTACTTTGCATGTACTGACTCTTCTCTGACTGGATTGACCCATGCAGAAGTCTGCTAATGTGATCATGTTTCCCCAAGTTCTTCTCAAGCTCTTTACTTACTCATCCACAGCACAGACTGGTGCTTAGAGCATGGAATCCCAACCAGAATATTTTGAAAGATAATCTTTGATTTTTAATCTGAACAAAATGCTTAGGGATGGTGATAGGAAATTTTACATGTATATAAAGCTTGGTTTTCCATTACTGCTTTGAGTGGATGTAACAGTCAAAGTTATTCTTTAACATAAAGTATAACTTGGTCCAGTAAGTTTTGTTAAGTGTTTTTTTCCTAGTGCATATTAAATAAGAAATAACTAAAGCAATTACACTTGCATTTCTCTAATGAATATATTAATAGAGAATAATTGGAGGAGAAGGATCATAATGAACGCAAAAGATGCTAGCAGTGATTCTGCACTCTCTGGTGACCCACTCATTTGAAAGTGTCACCTCTACTGAAAATAATGGCTTTAAACCTTTGAAAGCTACTTACAAAATGATTTATAAATACTGCAGCCACTGATATTAAAATTGCTTGTTTTGTGCATTATGCAAGGTGTGAAAATACTGCATTTACCTTAAAATGTTCTGAATACAACTTTTTTTGCTTGTTTTTCGCTTAGTTGCAGTGGAAAGTCACTGAAGATAAAAGGACCAAATGTGCAGTCAAGGGCAAATCAGAACAGGTATGTTTTTTCTATTGAATCTGGAGAAAGACATTTTCTTTAAGGAGAAGTGATGATAAAGAAGAAAGGTTCTAAGTATTTGAAATTAAAATCTTCACCTAAATTATTTAATAAGCTTGAGCTTTGGAAACTGCAGTTCATTTGTTTATAATTCTTAGTTCATTATTTCCTCCATTTGAATCTTGTTGAAACTGAGCACATTCTCGCGTGCCTAGTATTATCATTTTTTCCATTATATTAATAAACCAATATTGTTTTCACTGAGCTAATAGATACTAGCTGTTATGTTTTATTAATACAGTGATTCTTCACTAGCATTTGGTTTTCCAGAATGACTGATAATTTTATCTGCTTTGCTCTAGGACGTAAGGTTTATTTTCTGGGCCAGTGTTTTTCCAGTAGCACATTTTTCACCAACTGCATACATCTTTATGATGCTGAGCAGGTGTACTCCTTGCTGGTCTGACTGCTCAGACAGCTTCCCAATCTCTTATGTGCTTGGCAGTGCAGACAGCTCAGTCTCCGGACTCCCTCAGCATTTCTGGCAGCCACAGACCCCTCCAGGACTGCTGGCACATGCTAGCTTGTTCACACTGCCTTTCTGTAGAGGTAGTTTATTTGTGATGATCTGCCTTAGGTGGTTGTGCCTTTCTCCTTGTGTTGTGACACTGGCTTAGTAATATGTCAGACTGGGGTTTACTTGGCAAGATTGATGGTCAGACTTTCCCCATAGTTTTTGAAGTGTAGGGTTCAGAAGGCTGCAAGTGCAAAAATTAGTACTACTACCCAATTAGTGTGTTCTACATCTCACATCTCCAATTTCTTTGTTGCACACTGATTATAAAATCCCAAGTGCATCTAGGGACTCATCTAGGGTGAAGTGGGTTACCCTGCCTTTACCCAACTCTGCATTTGCTTGAACTGAGAGTCATCAAGGCAATTCACCTGCCTAATATGAGGTCTGATGGGCAGTTGAGGGCCGGTTTCTCTTCCTCTTTGGCCCTTCTTGATGCATTCTGATTACTTTATTCTCCAGGTTTGACTGAGGTTGCTAGAAATAATCACATGCAGTCATGATGGATGTATGTGATGTGACTCATCTTTCATGCACTTGCATATGCTTTTGCAGACATGTCTAGGTATGTACCAATCCTTTTCAGAGATTATTGATGGTGACTGGAAAGGATGTTAGAATCTGTATGTAGGCACTTTGCTCTTAACTCTCTCAGACCTCCAGACTGTTCTTCCTATTTTTTTTCTGCCCCTAGATTAGCAAGTTTTACTGTATTAGACTTATTGCCAGCAATGCTTTTTCTCCATTGTACTCAGGATTTACTAATAGCTCTGATTATGCTATAGCCATAATGTTTTGCGAAGTGCAGTTGTTTCAAGTGTTAAAAGTATTAAACAATCACTGCTATTCCTTATACTAAAATGGGCAGCCTTCTCCCCCACCTATCATCACTACGCTATGCAGTGCTAGCAAAAAAAACCCACTTACATACCTGTTCAAGGAACTAATCTGGCAGAAAACTGGTTTTGTTCTGTTTGTCTCCAGTTTTCTTCCATACCTGATCCACCACACAGTCAGAGAAATACCTGGTTTGTCTCATAAGAGTGAAGAGTAAGGACAATGGTTATGCTTGTTTAAATAGTTTATGGAACTGTAGTACAATGTTGGTATCAGTCTTTGTAGCAGAGAGGATTAAGCAGTGTTGATGACACTACTTTTTCCTCCACTGAGTGCATGTTTACTGTGTTTGTTTTGTTGTTTTGAATCCTTACAGCATGGGTATCCAATCTTTTGGCTTGTCTGGGCCTCAGAGAGCAAACGGGAATTGTCGTGGGCTGCATATAACATATATGATGAAATTAAAACAAAAAAGGCATGGCTGCCTATTTTTCACTGATCACAGGACTGCGTGGCCAGTATATCAAAATGCATGAAATTATTTGCCGTAACTAGAGCTTGCCATAATTTAAGTTTCATTTCAAACACTGTTACTGTCTGAAACATAGCACAGATAACTCGATTTTCCACCTTGAACACACATGTTTAACTCAGTTAAATGAGTGAACAAATCTACCAGAAATGCTATACCTGTGAGCCATTTTTCATCTTAGTATTATGGCACAAATTTAATTTTGATTCCATAAGGGACTTGATTTTATTTTGCAAATCAGGAGGTATTTTTAGCATCTTACCCTGACTTAGCCACCTTCCTTCACAAAAGTAAATTAAGGTGTCCATAATCAGCATCCAAACTTTTAAGGATCTCCTGGAATCAGTGGTGTTTCAGTCCCATGGATGTCACGAAATTCACATCTTTGATGATGATTTGCAAGATATTATCAATTTTTAAAGTTATTCACATAAATTTTCTTGATGTGCAATGCACTCATGTTTCATCAAATGTGTGTTGTCAGTGGTAATTGCATTGTCTTCCATTAATTTTATAAGTCCCTCTTTTTTCACCAACTATTCCTGGAATACCATCAGTAACTACATCAGATACGTTCAGTTAAGTAATTTGCTTTAATATTTTGTACTGCTTCAAACAAGTCAAGAGATTTAGCTGTGTCTTTTAATATCACCAAAGAAGCCATTTTTTCAGTGACATTAATATTTGTTATTTATATATATATATATTGATATATATGGTAAGGTGAGCAATATCTGAAGCATCAGTACTTACATCTGTTGCCAAAACATAAAGTTTGAAATGGCGACTTTACTCTAAATTTCTTCCAGTATATTTTCCTGTTTCTTCAGTTCACCTGGCTACAGTCTGGTGAGGCAAACTGATTTTTCTAAAATCCATTTTCTTATGAGGACACATTATATCTGCCATGCTTTCCATGCATTGCTTAACAAAGTCACCATCAGGAAATGGTTTTGATTTTTTTTGCAGTCAGATTCTGCTACTGCTTATGTAGCTTTTATAGCAGAGTTGGTTTTAGTTTTAACTTTCTAAAAAAATACTTGGTTGAGGTGACAGACTTTCTTTCAGTTCCACTGTTTTGTCTTGGTGATGCCTTCTTTGATATGCATCGAATTTGGCACTGTTTCTGTATTCTGCATGTTCCTATCCTCTTCAATATCTTTATTGACGACCTGGATGCGGGCATTGAATGCACCCTCAGTAGGTTTGCAGATGACACCAAGTTGGCTGGAAGTGTGGATCTGCCTGGGGATAGTGAGGCCCTGCAGAGGGATCTGGACAGGCTGGAGAGCTGGGCTGAAGCCAATGGGATGAGGTGCAACAAGGCCAAATGCCGGGTCTTGCACTTTGGCCACAACAACCCCAGGCAATGCTGCAGGCTTGGGTCAGAGTGACTGGAAGACAGTGTAGAGGAAATGGACCTGGGAGTATTGATTGATGCTCGGCTGAACATGAGCCAGCAGTGTGCCCAGGTGGCCAAGAAGGCCAATGGCATCCTGGCTTGCATCAGAAACAGCATTCCAGCAGGAACAGGGCAGTGATTGTCCCCTGTACTCAGCTCTGGTGAGGCCGCACCTCGAGTACTGTGTCCACTTTTGGACCCCTCACTGCAAGAAAGACATTGAGGCCCTGGAGTGGGTTCAGAGAAGGGCAACAAAGCTGGTGAGGGGTCTGGAGTGCAGGGCTTATGAGGAGCGGCTGAAGGAGCTGGGATTGTTAAGGCTGGAGAAGAAGAGGCTCAGGGGACACCTCATTGCTCTCTATAACTTCCTGAAGGGAGGTTGTAGTGAGCTGGGGGTCGGCCTCTTCTCTTGTGTAACTGGTGATAGGACTGGAGGGAATGGCTTCAAACCGCGCCAGGGGAGATTTAGGCTGGACATTAGGAAATACTGCTTTTCTGAAAGAGTGGTCAGGCACTGGAATGGGCTGCCCAGGAAGGTGGTGGAGTCACTGACCCTGGAGGTGTTCCAGGAACGTTTGGATTCTGTGCTGAGGGATATGGTTTAGTGAGAACTGTTGGTGACAGGCGGATGGTTGGACTGGATGACCTTGAAGGTCTTTTTCAACCTTGATGATTCTGTGATTCTGTGATATAATGTCTTTTCAAATTGTAATATTCAAAAACTGTCACAATTTCTTTGCAAGTTAAGCATGGTGTATATTATTTCTCAGTGCTACACTGTGCCCTGCAAGTGTCCTGTGCTGGACCAGTTGGTGGGGCAGAGCTGATGCCATGAAGGTGTGGCAGCAGGGTGCAGTCTGCAGAGCAAGCTGTGCTGGGCTGCATGCAGCCCACAGGTTGAACATGCTTACCTTATGGCATCCTTTTTTCAAAGTTTTGTTCAAACTCCTTATTGTCATGGAGTTTCATGAACAGCAGCAACAGAAGAATTGCCAGCACAACTTCATTTATTTTATGTTGTAATGTGGAGCTGTGGTTTATCAGACCTATCCTTTTCTCATCCTTTATTACAGACTGAGTGCCGTAACTATGTGCGTGTCCTGCAACAGCTAAACGACACTTTTCTTTACGTATGTGGTACTAATGCATTTCAGCCAACTTGCGATTACCTGGTAAGAATATGTAGATTTTGTGACCCAGAAAAACTTCAACAAAAAAGCAGCTCATCTAAACAATGAGCTAATCTTTCTTTTCCCAAATAGTGTTGCAATTTCTGTGCTTGTCATAGCTTATGAAATATTCATGATACTCTCTCACAGTGATTATTAGTGTACAGAAATAAACCGTACTTTTCACCTTTTCACTGAATACTGACTTATCGATTCAGCTTAGTTAGATTTACTCTTTCACTGCTTTTTGTAGTTCTTTGTGTATTTTACATTAGCATAAAAGTGCTTTCTGAAACTGAAATGACATTCTTTGTGACTTCCATCCTGTACTGAATCTTCCTGAAATTTCTAGTATCCCTGTCTCTACTTGTCTTGTCTCTACTTGTCTTGTCTCTGCTTCTGGCAATGCCATAGCTTCATAATTCTGAATGCTTTAGAATGAAGTCTTAGCATAAAATCAAACGTCCCTTTTTTCATTGCTTACTCTTCTGTTCTTTTCACTGTGTCTCTTAATGATTCTGAAATTCAGAGACATTGTAATTATGTTCAACTTTGTTCTTTTTTGTCTCCCCTGCCTGTAAGTTTGTCTGCCATTAGCCCTGGACAAATTTAACAGTCACAAAAATTGCTAAGCTCACGTCAGAAAACCTTCTTAATTTGTAAAACTGACTATTTTTGTGCAAGCTAATTCAATTATTGCAAGTTCTTGGCTTTCATCACCTAATTTCTCCACCTTTCATATTTTGTGTTTTTTTGGCAGATCTCTCTTTCCTGTCTTTCTCATTCTATGCTTGGATTTAACGTCTTGTTATTTTTATTTATTTATTTCTTATTATTCTTTAATACTACTTCCCTCAGTTGCCTCTTTCTCTTTGTTATACTTGATCATATTTTCTGAAAACTTTTTACAATCTTGGGAAAACAGGCATTTCACTGAAAGTTACTGGTCTATTATTGGTTGGTTTTTACTTACCTTTACATGATTCAGTTGGTTGAAAGAAAGAGTACAAATGGTTGGCTTGTGGTTTTCAATTTAATTTTTTGCAGAATTTAATTTTGTTTGAGCTTGAAGGTAAGAATGAAGATGGTAAAGGCAGATGCCCATTTGATCCTGCTCAAAGTTACACATCTGTTATGGTTGGTAAGTTCAGTCTTTGCATACTTTGTTATGATGTATAAATATTCAGTCTTCTTCACTACTGTTCTCTGATTTTTCACTATTAAGATAGTTTCTAGATATTTACTGTGCTTTGACTGCCTCTATAGGGCCAATTACAGCCATTTAAATAACAAGTAGAATTTTTAGCTTTCCTTAAGACGCATGGTGAAACGGAACAGGGAAGTGAGGTATGTATTGCAACTGCATTACCACATGGTTAGATGACTAAATGTTGATGGGTAAAACCAGAGTTGATAGCTGTATCGTGGTGTCACAAGATCATAGAAAGGAAGTTCAGAGTAACGTGAAACAGGAAATGAAAAAGAGCTCAATCACTATGTTGTTTATTTTATTTGAATCATGGTGGCACATAAAGAGAGAAAAACAATTAGTTCCAAAACTTCTGTGGCATTTCTTAGATACATTTTGATACGTGTTAAAGTACCATGTTACAGTACCAACAGTGCTGACTTTTGCCAGGTACTTGTGTTAGAGAAATAATAAATGAAGTGTAAAAGTGTTAGCTCTGAGAATGGTCAGTAGAAATACAGACATAGAAGACACATCTGGGGCAACTGAGAGGAAATTCTTGTTTATCTTTTCTTGTGAGAAGTTTAAGCTAACATAGTCTCTTGAAATATTTATGCGTGTTTTTTGGTATACAGTGCATAAGAAAGTTTAAAATATTTGTTTTTGTTTTAAAGATGAGGAGCTTTATTCTGGGACTTCTTACAATTTCTTGGGAAGTGAACCTATTATTTCAAGGAACTCTCATCAGAGTCCTCTGAGAACAGAATATGCAATACCTTGGCTTAATGGTAAGTGGGTGTGAGAGCACACAGATCAAATTTTTTTTCCTTCTTCGGTGTCACAAATTCAGACAAAGAGTTTGAGCTTCCTTTCTGAGGTAAGGAGCTGTTGTTCACTGTCTCAAAGAGAGTGACTTTTGTTATATTGGTGTGTGCTCTTAGCAGAATTTTTTTCTCTTTAAAATTTCAGAACTTTTATCATCACTAACAATGAAAACAGCTTAGAGATGCACAGACTTTGAATGACAAGCGCTGTGTTTTATTTTATATCCATTTGTTCATCCTTGCTATGATACAACATACATGTGGTGCAGTAAGAAAAATATTCCTTGTCCTCAACATATAAATTTTAAAGCCAGTATGTTCTTGGTTCCTGATAATCTCAGTTCTTGACTTTCAGAATTGGCCAAGTTTTGCACACTCTCAGAATTTTGTGACTTTGGGCCCAAAAAAGACTAAAATCATGAAGTCAGCATATTACCAAAAAAAATCAAAACAACAACAACAACAGCAAAAACAACACAGTGTCCAAAAAGGAGAGAATGTTGAGTTTGTAGTGCATCGTGTTATTATTGTTGTTTTTGGTATTTCAGTTAACAGCAGAAATACTAAGTGGCTGATATTGTGTACAAGTAGTTGAAATAAAGTTGTTTTACACGATGGAGTTGACCTAAATCTTATATCTAATTTCATGGCTGGATGACAACAATGAGAGTATGCATGTTGAAAACCAATAGGGCTTGGGAGCGTGGATAGTATTTTTGGATTGATTACAATTTTTCTGTGGGACTGTGTCTTCATATGTGTCCAGCCAGCTGCTAGATTTGCAGGTGCTGGTCGCTGACCAACCCTGGCAAATTATTGCTTGTAAGTTGTAGCTAATTCTATCCTTGAATGTGAATGAACAGAAATATACCATATGCTTTGTATTAAGTTTGCATCAGGGTGGAGAGATGGGCAATGGAGGACAGGTATCATCAGAAAACCATGTTTGCATATAGGTGAACAAGAGGACTAATGAGATACAACAGACTAAGAGGTATTAGAGATCTTTAAGGTATGGTATGTTAAATAGCTGATTTTTTTCCTCCACTATTGTACTTTTTTAGAAATGCTAATCACGGGCTTAACAACAGTGTAGGCAGATCAGTAACTGAAGAACATTTAAATACAGTGTAAGGTCTGGGAGAAGAAAATTTGTAGAGAGTCTTCAAGAGAATGAAGTTAAAAGAGTTGTTTATAATGTAAAATTCTTCTCTTCATATTTGTAGAGCCAAATTTTGTTTTTGCTGATGTTGTAAGAGCAGATCAAAACAGCACAGATGGAGAAGATGACAAGATATACTTTTTTTTCACTGAGGTGTCTGTGGAATATGAGTTTGTTGGAAAACTTATGATTCCAAGAATAGCTAGAGTATGCAAGGTGAGACATGGTTCAATTGCCTTTTACTAATTACAGTAGATTTTGGGTTTAGTGAAAAAAATGGCATTTATTGTAAATTAAATGGAAATTGTTTAACTTCATCTCATTGAAACAGCACTTCTAACCAGTTTCTTATAACTGGCAAAGTCTCATTGTTGCTTTGGAAACTAATATTTGACTTAATTTAATTAATGGTGAAATTTCAGTACATACGACGGTTCTGTCCTCCCCTGGGGGGTGTGGGAGAACAACAGTAATGACCAAAAAAAGGACTCTGGTTTCTGTTTTATATTTTAAACTGAAAGCTTAATTACAGTCCCCGAGGGAAAAAAAAAAAAAAAAAAGGAAAAAAAGCCTGAGTTGCTGTTGAGCAGATAGGAAGTTTCTCAAAGATTCAAGTTGTTCTCAGGCAGCTCCATGCAAGCAAAATCATTTTGTTCTGTAGTCATAGCTAGTAATAGCAGATGCGACTTCTGTGGAGCTGCCAGAGCCACAAACAAGACAGTCACCATTCTGCCACAATTAGTGCAATTAAACCTTTATTATTTTGGTTTAATCAAGTAGTGTTGGTGCCAGTACAAAATACCCTTTCCATTGGAATGTTATCAATTTCCTCAGTACTTTTTCTCCAACAGGAAACTTACCTAGCCATTTCGTTTTGATTAAGTTGAAATGTTTTATTTTGACTTTACTCTTCTATATTTAAATGTGGAAGTCGAAATATCAGTAACGAGTCAGTGGCCTTGAAATTTCCACTGAACAAGCAGCTGGAGGCAGATTTACATGGGACTTAATATTATGGCCCTCTGCCCACCAACAACTTGTACACTCTTCAGAACAGGAGTATCACAGAACATGAGAGATATATTGCTGCTGCTTGTTAGTAAAAGGAATAAATGGCAAATTGCAGTTCTAAAGGGAATTTTACTTCAGTTTTATTAGATATACTTAAATGTTCATTTTTTTCTTCAATTCTTTGCATAAAAGCACTGGATAATGAAAAAAAAAATTATTAGTAATGTCCAAATATGCCTGCTTTTGTAAAGAAATAACAGAGCTGCAACTCACAAACTAAATATTTTGAGACATTTCTAGTCTAGTAAAAATATCTTTCAGTACTACAGATTCTTCATGAAGGTGGTAACTGCCCACAGTATTAGGCCATTTGTGCATTTTTTTCCTAGTGGAATTGTTAATGTCAGACATATTAAATACATCTTGCAAGATTACAGTATAAATCATTTCTGTTTGGATGTCGGAGAATAAATGTGGTGTTACTGATTTATGTTAAAGGATGTGTATAATACCTCCGTGTTTATTTTAATTGTTCTAATAAGCATTTGTGTCTTATAAAGGTACATTCTCAGCTCTGTTTTTCAAATGCTGAAGTATTTGAAATTCTTTTACAAGAACTTAGTATTCTAAGTTCTTTTAGAAGAACAATGTCTTATCTGATTTCCAGATGCTGACAGAAACCATTCTGCATTATTTTTGTTTACTCCGATAACTAAATAAATAAAAAATTTCTGTGGCTTCCTTACTTTTCTGTATATGAGCACATTAACAGTTTTTGATGCTGCTGTAGATGAAATGCTAAAGAAGTGTAGTAGTTACAAAAGTTTGAAAACAGCTAGAAAATTGAGAAAAAAATAGTTTGGTAGCTTTGTAGCTGTGATTCTTAAATGCAAAACTGCTGCCTAATTATCTTCATAGACACTTTTCTTTTTTTTCCAATGCCAAAAGAGGGACCAAGGAGGATTAAGGACTTTGCAGAAAAAATGGACTTCTTTTCTCAAGGCCAGATTGATATGTACCATTCCTGATAAGAATTTAATTTTCAATATTATCAATGATGTTTTTATTCTGAAGTCTCCAACCTTGAAGGAACCAGTGATATATGGAGTCTTTACCCCACAGCTGTAAGTGTGCTATTACAGTGTTTCCCTGGATGAGTACTTTTGATCTCAGCTAGTTGCTAAATCAAGTAATTATTCCTGTGATTATTTTTTTTTAATTATTCCTGTATTTTTAGGAATAATGTGGGACTGTCAGCTGTGTGTGCCTACAATTTGTCTACTGTAGAAGAAGTTTTCTCAAAAGGAAAGTATATGCAGAGTGCTACAGTAGAACAGTCCCATACCAAGTGGGTACGGTACAATGGGGAGATTCCTAACCCTCGACCTGGTGCAGTAAGTTTCTGTAAATTTGAATATGACTCACAGGACTAAAGAAACTAGAAAAGCAAACAAACAAACAGAAAAAATACAATAAAAGCAGTCCTACTAAAGCGAAGTATTAGATTGCAGTGATATAGATGCTTTATATTGTAAAGATTTCCTGAAAGACACTTCAGGTGATTTTATTTCAAAGTTTGAATCTGGGAATCAGTGTTTTTTTAAACATACCATACAGTTAATTGCAGTTTTTATCTTTTCATTATTTCATTACTAAATTTCTAGTGGTGAAAAAGATAATGGTATGCCTTAGGGAGCTCAGAGATTTTTTTAGTTCAAGTGAACAAAATTGGAAAAGTTGTTGCATTGTCTTACTAGGTCCAGCAGGTGTTGCTATGCAAGTTAAAATCCTTGTAAAATGCTCCTGGGTCTCTTCCACACTCACGTTTCTTGCAATTGTCTTACTGCAGCTGATGAGTAGGATTACAGTTAAAGGTAGTTAAGAAACATGGGAATCCATGGAGTATTTTCTTGTAATATATTTTGGGTCCAAATAAAAATGTAGTATGAACCATTTGCTTAGATCAGCATGTTGCTGAAACCAAGGTGCTGTGGAGCTTGAGTACCTTCCAGGATGAGTATAATGCAGAAGAAAATGCATTTATCTGCTGCTTTGACATAATTTGCTTTTCTCTCTGTTATTTCTTTCTTGTATTTTTAAATAACAGTGTATAAACAGTGAAGCCAGAGCTCTGAACTACATGACTTCACTGAATTTACCAGACAAAACGCTGCAGTTTGTTAAAGACCATCCGCTAATGGATGATTCAGTGACTCCAGTGGGAGACAGACCACGCCTTGTAAAGCGAGATGTGAAATACACCCAGATTGTAGTAGACAGAGTCAGAGCACTCAATGGTACAATGTATGATGTTATGTTCATCAGTACAGGTAAGTTCTGCTTACGTTGTTTTTAATAATGTACTTATTCTTAAGGCAGTAGTGTGCTCTAACAGAAACTCAAAATATTTACATATTTATAATATTTTTACAGTATGTGGTATTTTCATAGAAAAAATGGGGAACCACGGTAAGTACACGGATAACCTTGCTTGCTTTGAGGAGCTGCTGAAGGACGAGAATTGAAAAAAAACTATTTTATCAACATTGACAGTAGGATTCGGTGTATCCTTCAGCAAGTTCGCTGATGACACCAAGCTGGTTGATGCAGTTGACACAATAGAAGTGGAGGGATGCCATCCACAGGGACCTGAATAGGCTTGGAAAGTGGACAGATGAGAATCTAATGAGGTTTAACAAAGCAAAATGCAAAATACTGCACTTGGGTCGAGGCAATCCCAGATGTACGCAGACTGGGAGAACTCATTGAAAGCATCCCTGCAGAGAAGGACTTGGGAGTCTCATGCAGTGTGTTCTTGCAGCCTGGAAGGCCAACAGTATCCTGGGCTGTATCAATAGAGGGGTGGCCAGCAGGTTGGGGATGATTGTCTCCCTCTACTGTGCCCTCCTGATGTCCTATCCAGAGTACCCCAAGTATGGGAGCCCCAGTACAGGGAAAATGTGGAAGTATATCAGCAGGTTCAGAGAAGGGTCATGAGGATGTTTAAAGGGCTGGAGCATCTCTCCTATGAAGAAAAGTTGAGGAAGTTGAGCTTGGTTAGCTTGGAGAAGAGAAGGCTCTATAAAGAGTTCATAGTCCACTTCTAAAAGGGAGCTTACAAACAGGAGGGGGACCAACTTTTCACAAGATCTAAAAGTGATAGGATGACGGGGTGAGGCTTTGAGCTCAAGAGGGTAGATTTTAGGTTAGATGTTACACAGAAATATTTTACTCAGAGGGCAGTGAGGCACTGGCACAGGCTGCCCAGAGGAGTTGTTGACACCCCATCTCTGGAAGCATTTGAGGTCAGGTGTGATGGCACCCTGTGCAGGAGCAGCATGATCTAGTGGGTTCCCAGCCTGTCCATGGCAGAGGGTTGGAACTGGATTATCTTTAAGTCACCCTCCAACCTAAGCTGTTCTGCAAACTGCGAAACTGTAGTGTTTTGCTTAAACATACATGAGATAATCCCTGAAAGCCATTCTTTATTTCAGAAGGCCTTTTCCAGAACTCCTTGCAGTGGCAGGTATTATGTTTACCATTGGCACAGGCTGATGTGAAGTCTCAGCTGGATAAATGATTCAAATTGTAACAAGTGTTCATTTTTGCCTGCCTTTTTATTTTAAGAATCTCACTTAAATACATTGCTATGTTATTGCAGATCAAGGGGCCCTGCACAAAGCTATCAGCTATGAAAATGGAATGCATATTATTGAAGAAACACAGCTTTTCCCAAACTTTGAGCCAGTTCAAACACTCATACTTTCATCCAAAAAAGTAGGTGCTACAAACATCACAGTATTCATCTTTTTTTTTTTTGTTCTATAAAAAACTTATCTACCATCTTGTAAAATAATCATAATGAAGCAATGCAGACTGTGGAAATCTGCAGCTGTAGTTTCTGTAGTAGTATCAGTATTTTCCCTGATAATTTCTGTTGCTGCTGATAGATCTCAAGCTTTTGAGGTTGTCTAGATCTGGGGAAAGTATGTGTGGTTGTGGAATGGGAATGCAGGTGTGCAGTATTACTGCGGTTGTGCAGGAGCTAAAAGCTGTAATGTATTTAGAGGTACAGATTTTTAGGTTAGGAGTGGTGCAACAATCCTGACCCCTTGAGGCCAGGAAAAATTCCCAGGAAATAAATACAGAAGTGAAAATATTTTTCTGAAACAGACATTAGTGGAGAGAGCCTTTTCTAACAAATTGAAGATTCTGTACTTAATTGATTTTTGCTTTTCCCAAGTTATCAGGCTAGTTTTGTCTGGAAGATTTATTAGGAGACTAAGCATGTTGGTGCTGCTGCTATTGTAATGCTCTGAAAGGGATTACTGGTGAGGTCATGCCAGCCAGATAGGGCTTCAGCCACAGCTGGACGACATAAGCTTTGCTACAGACTCCAAACACAGTGATGTTTTGCATTACTGAACATTCACTGGGTTTAATTGTGGAGTGATTTTTCAACAGTTGGAGAACAATCATTTTGTGTATTTCGTACACTAGTCTTCTGGCCCTGTTTACTCTGACATGCAGATCCATGAATGTCTACAAAAGTATTACCATAATAGCTTGTAGCATCAAACCCTTCAACTGGTGAAATTTCTGGCGAAAAACCCTTCAACTGGTGAAATTCTTTCTTAAGGAAAGAACCTGCTGTAGGGAACCTGCTTTGACATGGGGTTTGGACTCGATGATCTCTGGAGGTCCCTTCCAACCCCTACAATTCTGTGAAAGAAAAAAAGTGTCTGATAATCTTACATTATCAGTGACATTCAGTAAGTACCCAGCAATCAGTAAATGCTCTGATGTTAGGGATTTAGGAGTATTGCCAAGATATCTTAAGAGCAGCTATTCCAACATGATCAATTCCATGAAGAAAGACCATTATCCCAGAATTCTTTTCAGCTCATCTTGCATATGTAGTAGTCCGTGTAAAAGAAAGAAGTATTGTGAAAATAGAGTGTGCTGTTGACAGACAAGTCAAAGTCATGTGATTAAAAGTTTCCTTTTCCATAGATTTCAGTGGAATCTATTGTTTTTCTGTGTTGTTCATCACACTGGCCAGGGTGTAGAATTAAAGAATAGTTAAGGTTGAAAGGCATCTGTAGGTCCATCTTGTCCAACCCCTGCTCTAGCAGGGTCACCTAGAGCAAGTTGTTCTTACAGTTGTAATTTGATACGTGTAGTGGCATACCATAGTAACAGATTAACAATAGGAGAGCAGTACTTCCTGTTCTTGACAGTGGGCCTCGAACTCTCTTATACCTTCACCTTGCTCGGAGGGTTGCTGTCAGTAACAGAGCTGATCCTCTAGCTCCTGTCTGGCTGAAAGATGTCTGGATTTTTGCAACGATCTGTTCAGCTCTCCACTTGTTTTACGAACTCCCTGAATGTACCAGCTGGGAACCATATCAAGGCACTGATACCCTCATGCAGTGTTGCCCTGTTGGCTTGGGTGTTAGCCAACAGAACACTAGAAAGACAGACAGACAGACAGCAGTGAACCAGGGGAAGCTTTTCCTAGAAAGCCCTCCATGTTTTGATGTTGCAAATTTATTTATGTGGACACTCCAGCATAGACTAGTGTTAAGCTGGATTTTAGTATGAAAGACTGCATTTGAATGTATGTCTCTGAAGTTTAGTTCTTTTTGGAATTCCCATCTTCCAGTAACGTACATTTCTTTTTTGATTCAGTTTTGTCTCTTGTTAGGTTTTCCTTTGAAATTCACACATGAGGGATCTAAAGTACTTTGTGCTTGATCTTCCTCTAGAGAATCCTGTTAGCCACAGTGAAGCATTCATTTACTCAAAAATGCATGTTCTTGTGTTCATTGCATTAAAGAAAAGAGACTACCCTCTTTTAAGTTCTCATGAACTTACTAATACCTCTTCATATAGTTAAATAAAAACATAACAATAAGCCTCCAAATCTAAATACAGCCCTACTGTTTCTGTTTGTACATGTATCTTGAAGTTGTTCTTGATGTGAAGAATAAATCTTTACCGTGAGTATGATGTTTAGGACGAATCTTGCTTTACTAGGATGGTTTTTGCTCTGATTTGTTATTGCTCTGTGACAGCGTTCATCCTGCCAGAGTTGAGAAGGCATCCCCCAAGTGCTGTTTCTACATACTGAAAATCTGTGCAGCTTCAATTCAGAAAAAGCCAGTTGTTGCTTAAATCTGACTTCTTTGCCATGACAACTGTGGTAGAGTGCTGATACGTTTGGTATTCAACTCAGGAGGAAGTAAATCCATTGCCAAGGTGGAGCGTGCTATCTGGCTTTGTATGCACTGTCTTAGAGATACTAGATAGTAGATTGCTTATGGCGTTTCTTTGCAGGGCAAACCTATTTCCCAAGGCTTTGTACAGTGGTGAGTAAATTCACAGTGTACCTTTAGTCATCAGTTTCCCTGAACTTGGATACTTGCCTATTTCACTCATTTCTTTCAGTCTTTTATGACAAGGATGATCAGAACAAGTGTGAATGTTTTCCTGTTGTACATAGTGTGAGAGTTATTTGCAGATCCCCAGGAACAGTTGGTAAGGCAGTTGTTCTCTTTACATCCCCCTTTTGCTAAGCATTATGCCAACATTCATTCCTTTGAATGCTATTCACAGTTCTTTCTTGCAGAGGATTCAAGGAAGTAACTGCCAGTAAGCAACTACAAGATTCAAGGCTGACACTGGGGCTGCAGAGACCTGACTAGTAGGCAAAGAGTTGCCCTGGATTAACAGATGTAGGAGCAGTATAGAAAACCTTCCCATTTCAGGCATGGATGTAACCACTGCAGTTTTGTCATTAGCACGTGCTTGTCTTTCCTTCCATGAAGTCTATCAGTAAATTCATATTTATGGAAAAAAACTGATATATAAGAGCCACAGTTAGGCAGTTACTTTCCTTTCTTATAAAGTGTATTGATTGTAATTTTCTGTTCTTTTTACTTATTTTCACTTCAAGTGTCGCTAAATGTTTAAGAAATGTTTTTTACAAGCATACAAGTATGTATGCACCTCTTTTAATAATTTTTCAGTTGCTTCACAAATGTGATTGACTGTGTAGGCTTGTTTATGTGAGGTTTTTTTGTTTGTTTGGTTTGGTTTTGTTTTTAGAGCAGAAGATACCTCTACGCTGGTTCAAATTCTGGTGTGGTTCAATCTCCTGTGGCATTCTGTGAGATGTACACCACTTGTTTTGACTGCGTTTTAGCAAGGGATCCTTACTGTGCTTGGAAACCTCTTGAGGGTTCTTGCGTTGATATTTTTCAAGAAAGTGAAACTGAAAGGTAATGGCAGCCTTTGACTATAGTTGCAATTGGTTTTGTGTCTGTCTTACCTTATCTTAACAAGATTTTTTTTTTTAACTTATTGTTTTCAAACACATGCTTCTTCCTATCCTTTAATTGCCTACATAAAAAATTTCAGCTTGTGCTATTTAGATGAGATAAAATTTATCTTACATTAGAGGATGGACTGACATGGGAATCACATTTGAAGCTGTCATAATTGCACTATCTTTCACAGGAATTGGATTCAGAACATAGGTGGAGATGCATCTTCTTGTTCTGGTGAGTTACATTCTGTGAAGAATACTTATCCAGGTGGAATAGGAAGACTTGTATCTAGATTTTCATTTATATTATAATGTGTATGAAGTTCTCTTGTTTTTTTTTTCGTATTTGAGCATCCATACAGCCTTCATCTTGTCTTAAAATGTTTGTATTCGTGTACATTTCAGTGTGCAGTGCACAAAGTTCTGAAATGAATGGGGGTACCTCAACAGCACCTCATGAATGAAAGTACTATTTACCATAACAACTTCTAGTACAGAGGTCTCTGTCTCTAATAAAATAACATTTGACATTCTACTGTGAGTCTTGGTTAAATGCTTAATTGTTTTTGCTGGATCAGATGAAATGATGCTGGAAGAAGCTGCTTTTATTATGAGAGGGGAGGGAGGCTCAGTACATCATAGAGAGCAGCTGAAGTACCCTCTGGTGTATTTTAAGACAAGTAACTGCAGGTCCTTTCTTTCTCGTGTATGTTGCTGCCATCAGATTATGGAAATCTTAAAGAAGACTAGTGTTAGAGAACATTTGTACTGCAGAAAAGAGTACATTATTTATTCTGCTTTCATTTCTTATCTAGAGCAACCATGAGAGTTTGACCTGTTAGCTATATCTCATTTATCATATTGTATTGTGGGTATGCAATAGTTACTGATGTTTTCAGAAGAGAGTTGGAGTACTGATACTTAAATTTCTTAAAATTAAATTATTTCTTCAACATTTTGTTGTTACTTAAAATATACTACTTGGTTTGAAAGTTATACAAAGTTGAGCATCTTTTTTCAAATGATGACTTAGAGGCACACTCAATTTGGATCAACTAAGTCTCCCCTGCTTTTCTGGAAGTGGAAGCTGTTTTGGAGCTTTTTGAGGTGTCTGATCTTGTAATCTGTTTTGGTGTCCTGTACACACCTGTAGTTTAGTATTTCACAGAGACCTGCATGATGTTATCTTGGTCTTGAGATAATCTTAAGACTGCAGTCTTTGCGTTTCTGTTATGACTAGTACAGTCTCATGAAACTGTACAGAGTAGATCAAACAGGAATCATTGCTGATGCTTTGCACGTTTATTTTGGTGTTCCAGATAAAGTAAGAGAGAATTCGCTACAGCATACATTCAAGCATGGGAGCACAGCAGAGCTCAAGTGTTCTCAGAAGTCCAATCTGGCACAGGTAGTTTGGAAATTCAGGGATGACGTACTGAGGGTGGAGAGTCCCAAATACCGTCTACTGGAAAAGGCACTGCTCATCTTCAATTTATCAGAAGGAGACAGTGGTGTTTACCAGTGTCTGTCAGAAGAAAAAGTGAAGAATAAGAAATTCTCTCAGGTGTTGGCTAAGCATGTTTTGGAACTGAAGAAAGTCCAGCATACTACAGCAAGCCCAGTTGTGGCAGCTGCACCAATAGAAGGTAATAGCGATGTACCAAAAGTGTCAGCTGTATCAACTGAGGGCTCTACTGCTCAAACCTCAACCACTCAGATTGTACCGGTAACAACTGCGAGGATAATAACAAAACCCATTGGCCCTGTCCTAACAAGTGCAACCTCCAACATAGAGCTTTTCAATTCACTTCCTGACACAGTCCCTGAAAAGACAATGTTTCTGAAGTCAAACGATAACTTCCTGTTGATGTTCCTGTTCCTCTTCTTTTTTATTCTCTTCTTGTGCCTGCTTTCCTACAATTGTTACAAAGGGTATTTGCCAGGGCAGTGCTTGAAATTTCGCTCAGTCATGTTGCTTGGCAAGAAAAAAACAAAGTCAGATTTTTCTGATTGTGAACAGAGCGTGAAAGAAACCCTGGTGGAGCAAGGCAGCGTCAGCCACCAGAGTGGGGAGCAGCCAAAGCCAGCGCATGACACCGGCTATGAGACGGAGCCGGACTGTGGGAATGGACAGCTGCAGGACAGGGATGCACAGATGCCCAGGGAGGCCAAGGACAAACCTTTTGATGTGAAGTGTGAGCTCAAGTATGCTGACTCAGACGTGGAGGGAGACTGAAGGACAGCGTTGGTTCTGTGTTGGAAATTAACTATGGTACTACAGCTGTTTTTGAGCGCCGAGAACATGGTTGTGACCACTGAGCCATAGGCGAGCTTTATGTGCTTCAGCTACACAGCAAGCCACTTCACATTCACATCACACCAGATACAGAAGCAGTGTTCTTGTCTGCAGACCATACCATCTTGTATTGTTCTATCAGGTTTCTTTAAATGGCCAGTTTCAGATCCCCATTTGTTTATTCCTGGTTCTTACCCACACATGGGGTACTTAATGCTGGTGAACAGCTGCCCACTCCTTTTTGGCCATTTTCTTCCTTAGGATAAGAGTAACTAATTTAGTTGGCTTTAAAAAGTACTTCAGTCTGCAAATCTTTTAGCTGCCATTAAAAAAAGTTCTAGTTTAATTTGCATTCCAAATTGGAAATTAAGTTTAGTTTATCAGATTGGTAAATTATAGACTATTGTCCAAATTGGGACATTTTTTCTTTGCTTCTAGTGATTATTTTTCATTTGACGCTTTGTGTTTTGGCACGCTAGATTTCTTTAGTTGGTTAAAGTTAATTAACTTTTAAGTATCTTAGCTTTTAAAGAATATGGGGATATATAGTTGGCTTGATTTGTGTAAGATTCTCAGGGATAATCTTGTTTAAAGGCTTTTTTTCTCGCTGCTTTCTAGAAGTTTAGATAACAGTATTGGTATAAAACTTGTGGACTGGAGTAAGAAGGGAAAAGAACAAATGATAGATTTAGAAACATTTTATTTTCCTTAACCAAGCTGGACGTAGTCACCTGTTGTTTTTTTTCTGTACACCATTGGATTTTTCCACTTTCTTTTGATTATTTTTTTTTAATGAAACAGTACAGGCAAGCAGCTGTCACTTCGCGGTGACACTGAGAGAGGTTTTTTGCACTGTGAAAGCAAAAAAGGAATTGAAAATTCTCTGCAGTAACTCATCTTGCAACTCACTGGAATGGACTGTTAGGATACAGCCTGATAAGAAAACTTTGGGGATGTTTTTTTTTCTTTTTTATGATTCAGAAGTAACTTCTTTTCCTGTGACACATCTTTGCAGCGTCACCCTTTCTGGATGACACCTTCTAATCTCTTATGCAACTGGAGACTGAAACTGGAGCTCCTCAAACAATCAATAATTTGAACTGTTCATTTGAATCGTGTCTGCAAAAGTGAAAATGTGCATTTGTTTTAAGCCTGCTTCACAGCTGCACTGTTTGTCTCTAAAAGCATTTAGTGTGGTACAGTTCCACAGAGAGTTGTCCCTCTCACTGCATCTTTCTGTAAATATTCTAGGAGTGCATCTTAACAGTAAATAGCAGTGTACCTAGGCTGCTTCTCTATGTTGAACTTTCATGCAAACTAATTTCAACCATCTTAGTGTGAACAGTTTATATTTTATAAGATTCAGTTCGGTTTTATTTTTCTATTTTTAATTATGTACATATAACAGAATAAATATTAAAATGAATTGTATTACACTTTGACTTTTATGAAAGTTGACATAATGGCAATCCTTTACATACTGCAAATGCTGATGTTCCTTGTGGCTTCCTTTAAGGGGAAAAAAAAGAAAACTCTCACCAGTTTGGAGCGGGTTCTCTTCTCGGCTTTATTTACTTGGGTTGTAATCCTCTGGGGGATAGGACGGATGGACAAAGACGTGAGTGAAGGAGAAAAGTGTTTTGTCGTAGGCCTCTGGGGATATTTCCTTTTATAACCCTTCTAAAATTCATTTGTCATTTTGCATTATTTCTTCAATGTGTGATGTATTTCTTGTAACTTTATTCCTTAGTACCATTTTTTTTTTCTTTCTTTTCTGTCCTCTTCTGTCACACAGCCTCATCTCCTATACCTTTCCCTCCTACTGGTACTTCCTTTTTGTCTTGTGTGGGATGTGGTCCACCTCCTTCACCCACCAGTATCGAGCCTGATGTTTGGTCTAGCACAAACCCTCTAAAGGTCATGTTGTTGCAGCCTTTCCTAAATGACCAGGCACAGCATGTTAGTGCTCGGGGATCGTTCCACCTCTTCTGCCAAGCCACAGGTAAGTTGGAGGACCCCTGCGTGAACTAGCATTTTCCTCACTAAAGGTTTGGATATGTGGCCATGTACAGTGTATGTTCTTTTCTGATGCTTAAAAAAGAAAGAAAAAGACTATTTGTGAATGTATTGTGAACATGCTTTTGCTGCAAATTGGGCACTGCAGACACTCTCCTGCAAAATTCTGTCATTTAGCAGCCTGTTTAAATATGCAAAGTCAGTTGACTTCAATAGGCTCATTTGGATGCTGAATGATGCACTTGCATGCATATGGATGTGTAGTAGGTAAATATCTTCATTGTTAGATGTATGCAATTAAAAAAAATACCATTGGATTTGGATTTTGCTCTTATTTTGGACCTGGTCGGTTATCCCTTATTACTTATTTCAGATGATAAAGTATGTACTGTAATGGTAATTCCATTCTCTGAGGAATATATTGTCTGTGATCGATGGGAGCAAGTCAAAGCTATTTTTTTTCTGTAGAAATTATACATTTGTCATTCAGTTTTTGTTTGGACAGCATTTGCCTGGTTAAGTGAGAATTAATGCATCTAGACAGGTCTTAAAATGTAATTTCTGTCCTTTAAAAATTAGAGATTAATTTTGAAGTAGGATTGTTTTTTACTGGTATGTCTGTGATTGTTAAATGTTACATGGAATCAGGTCAAAATGCAGCTATCTTCATTAAAGCAGGTCTTACCAAAGACATGATTTGTATTTTCATGGCTAGAAACTAGCTGTGGGGTCTAGGTGGGTAGGAATAATTTTTTCACTGCTGCTGGTGACACTGATACCTTTTACTGTCCACCATGGAAAAAAAATCACAGAATAATGGTGTAAATACTGCAAAAGATTCAAGCAATTTGGTAACCAGGCAAACACTGCAGTGTCTGGGGCACGGGAGGAGCAGTGAGCTGATGATGTGCTCAGCTGCACTGAATTCAGGTGTGGTGGAGTGTGGGTAGTTCCTAGTTTGGTTCTGTTTCAAGCTTCATTAACACAGGCACCACCATCGTCCAATGCAGAATATCCTTGGACTTGTTACAGACAACCCATATCCTACCATATCCTGAGTGTGCTGAGCAACAGTTTGAGTGCATTTGCAAATGACCAGTGTGCAACATTGTGTTTTTGTTGTTTTTGCAGATAGATAAGATAGATCCTGTCCACTCTATGCTGTCCAGAAACCTGACTCCTCCCCTTAGCTGTTAGAAGCTTTTCTTATCTGTTCTGTAGCTTTTTGGTCTCATTAAAACTAACCCTCATATGTGAAAATAACAGTTCTGCAAACTTGGCGTCCTTCTTTAAAGAACCGTTCTGCAGTGACACTGAGGTGGGTGCCTGATGCACACCTACAGACTGCGGCTGTGCACTGTAGCAGTGCTGTGTACAGGCGGTGCAGGAGAGCTTCCCACCTCATGGGGGGAAAGTGCATCACTCACAAGTCAGTGTCACAAGAGCTTCATAGAAAGTTTTTTCTCTCCAGCAACACTTGGAATTACACAGGAAGCTGTGCAGGGGAAGAGCTGGAGTGAGGGCAATGAGAAGACTGCTACAGACCTACAGACCTAGCTCAACCTCAAGGAGTGCTCCTGCAGCACATATGCAGAATGGGCCCAGACGTGGCCATGTGCCAAGCTGTGCCGAGTGCCTGGCACTGGCTGAAGGCCAGCCCCCTAAAGCAAACAAGCTGTCCTACACTGCTCCACTCTAATGGACTCTGAGATTTTGTGGTGAGGCTTCACTGGAGCAGTGGCCCTAACTTTGATCAGTGCTGGGTTTGTCTTTGCCTTCATATGGGTTGCTGTGCCAACACCTTGCTGAGTGCTCTGTGTCTCACAGACCAGCTTCTCTGGTGTGCTGCTGCTGGCAGTCTGACTGAGGGTCAGTGTCAGCATAAAGCATGTGTGGTTGCCAGAGTCTGATGGAGTTAAGTGCGGGTGTGGGATGATGCTGTTTATTCCGGTGATTCCTGCTCTGACTGAATATTCATTACCTGAAGCCATTTTAGTAGACTAAAACCTTTCCTTCAGACAGATCTGCAGCATATCACATTCTTTGTTATTTAAACTGCACCTAGGAGATAACTTTAAAAGTCAAGATTGCTCTTCTAAGTGTTCTGTTAATGCCTTAAAAATATTACAACTTTTATAATAACTTAAGATTAGAGAATCAACCATATACTACCTAAAAGTCAAAGACCCTGAAAGTATATAATCTTGTTGCAGTGGATTGCAGTGCCCATACAGGAATACCTGCAGCGTTGGGGTTGAAAGGGACCCAGAGCCTGCCCAGTTCCAGCCCCCTGCCACAGCCTGCTCAGGACACTATCTGACCTGGGCACCTTCAGGAATGGGGCACGCACAGCTTCTCCGGGCAGCCTGTGCCAGGGCCCCACTCTGAATGAAAAGTTTCCCCCTAACATGTAATTTATCTACCCTCTTTCAGGTGTAGCTGTTCTCCTTGCCCTGTTACTGCATTCTTTGGCACGCCCTCCCACCCTTCCTACAGGCCCTCTAAGGCCACGCTTCCCTCCCTGGCTGTTGGCAGTTCTAGTTTCAAAACAGGAAGAATTTCAGCCCTCCAGTGGCTCCTCAGTGATATCTGCAAGCCAACTGAAATTAGTGGCAGTAGGTTCCATGATGTGGATGCCACGTTTTTAAATTCTGGCATCAACAGCAGATTTTATGTTGCATAGAATGTTTTCTGTTTTCTTTTATGTGTGAAACCTGTGGCCAATCTAAGAAACACAATAAGCAACAAGGTGCAGTTGGAGAATCTCTTCTTATTGACTTTAGGCAAAATGCTTAGAATGTAAGAGAAATTGAAATATTTTTCCTCATGAGGAAGTCATTCTAGTAAGAATGGATAGTTGTGGCCTGCCACTAATTTTTGCTGTTGTGATATGCTTTAAGATTAAAACATCTCAAACCACATTCAGGTTGTAGCCTGTCATATACTGTGAGACACCTGTGTGTGTCCTAGTGAAACAGCTCTGTGAGTGCCCTGGTGCATTCACTGCCAGATTGTACCATCTGCACCATATGTTGGCAAAGCACTCAGAAAATTCAGCAGGTTGATACTCCTCAAATACCTGAAATTGCACTGTGAGAAGCTTCTGCGCTGTCTGAATAAACTGCTCTCCGTTAGAAGATCTCTTAGGGCCGAGGACAGTGGCTGCCCCTGCTGACACGGGTGAGAGCCCAGGACAGGAGAACCTGTGGGAGATGGCACTGGTGCAGGCCTTTGTGCACACCTCTCTCCTGCATGTAATGCGTGTGAGACTTCAGCAGCACAGATAAAAAGTGTACTGCAGAATCTGTGACAGCTTCTGTTGTATATCTAATGCTGTATGTAACAGAAAGTGTAATGGCTGATGAGGTGGGAGCTGATTTGCAGCTGTTGCTTTGTTTTAACCCTTGTCAGCAATGGGTGCCCATCTCACCCCTTTCTCTGTCACTACTGGGTCTGTCCACTGATCGCTGAGCAGAGGTTGTAGTTTGTATACTCTAGAAAGGAGACTGAAAAGGCATTCTACTGTCAGAGGTATTTTTGTTCTCTGATTTTTTTCCATTTTATTTTACAAGATAACGTCATGGCTTTAAGATGGTGGACAGAGTGGGCAGGGAAAACAGGCACACTCAGGCTGAGGGTGCAACAATTCTTTGTTGCCAGACCCCAGTTCATCTCACTTAATTACTCTCCAGATGCAGTTACGTGGGTTCCAACCACACAGCCATGCTCTGGTTCCACTTAGAGCACAGCTGGGAGTGCTGGGGAGCAGGGACAGCCATACTGCAGCTCTGTTCTGCCCATAGGAGGGCAGTCATGTTCCACCTGAGTAGTGCAGCTGTGCCTGTGCTGTGCACACACTGGTGTTGGCCTCAGATCTGGCTATCAGCAGCACTGTTGCACCATTGCCAGCTAACAAACCATGAGCTGTGTTTCAGAACAAACTGTTAGCTGTTTGAGGTTAAATTCTTTGTTGGCAATTGTTGTCATATTATTTTAACTGTTTTCTAGAATGGTAATGTATTGATCATAATTTCTTACCCAGCTAACTGAAGTACAAAGACAGAAGGCCCAACAAACACACTGGTTTCAGAACGCTACAGAGATCCCCATCACAGCTCAGTGACCCTCCCCCTGCAGCTCCACCACTAACCACTCTGGGTGTTGCGCAGCTCGCAGCACTAACAGAAATGCTCATGCATTGTCGGGCTGCAACTGTTTGGGGCTTCAGGACACAATTACCTTTCCTGTGCTTTCATCTCTTGAGTGTCTTGTAAAACTTAATCCTTGCTCTGAATAAGAGCTTCTTGTGGTATGCTGAAAGTTCAGGTGATCAGCTCGATAGTGAATGCTAAATCCAGATTCCACTTTTTTTTTTTTTTTTTTTTTTTTTTTTTAAGTTCAAGTGATGTTTGGAAAAGTTCTGAGGAATCAACAAGCTAGCATTGGAGGAAGACATCTCATGTTTGTAGATGGCCACTGTAGTGATGCTATGCTTGTATGACAGCTGTGCATGACAAGCTCCTACTGCCCCGCCAAGCAGTCCCTGAAGGCACCTGTTACCAACTGCTGGAGCCTTGGGCCACACTGACAGCACCTGCTCTGCTGCACTGGGCTCAGATCTCTCCAGCTGGAAAGGTTTCTCCATCTGTTACAGAGGTGTGAGTACTCCTCGCTGGCAGCAGCTGTTGGGCCACCCGCTCTGAGCAGCCCCATTGTGTCCCAGACCCACAGGGCAGCTCTGCAGGGCTCAGCTCTGCCAGCAGGACTGGCCTGGCCCCAGCTCCCTCCCACTCCCCAATTTATGTGATCAGCTCCACTCGTAATCCATAATCACCCACTCTTACATTGGTATCTAAAAGGAAAGCTGTATGCCTGTTAGGTTTTGATGCCTATATAGCAGATGTGATATTGGGGACAACCAAGTGGGGTCCCTGGCATGCTGCTCTGCATCTACAGCTGTATTACTCCATTCCTCACCTCCTGGTATACTGCTTGATTTTAAGCTAAAATGGAACATAAACCCCACTTCAGTGAATAAAGTTGGGGGGTTGGTACACAGTTTAATGCTGCACGCAACTGAAGAAGATTAACACATGGCTGATGGGATGCTCCTGCAAACCTCAAGGGGCAGAGGCACTGCACCAACAGAGGATGATACCCACCTGGGAAATGAGCAAACGATCACACCACCACTGGGCATTATGGAGGGCTGGGCAGAGAAAGGGCATATTTGTTCTGCTGTACAGTGTTAGCTGTCTCCCTTCTAAAAGTTAAGACTGGATTAGGTTAAGAGTAATGAATGCAATTTCTATGATGAAGCAATGTTTTCAAAATTAACTACGTGAAGTATCATTCATTGTTGCCTAAATGTACCTGTCTACATATCCAAACTGGTTTGGTGTTTAATTCTCTGCTTGAATATTGTGTTTTAACATGAGCATTTTCTTAAATCTTTCAAGCATTCTTAAGGTGGATGGCAATGTAAGTAGATACATTTTTTTAGCTCCTGTTTTAAAGATTATATGTCATTGGTTTTATCATAGCGAATGTATGCTCACAGTCATTTATCTTCAAAAGATAAATGTGTAACTACTGCATCTTTGAGCATGAATTTATCTTAATCCAGAGTTGTAGCAAACCTGAATCTGAGAAATGTGACTTCATGTTTTTGCAGGCGTAACTCTTTGTGTTTTTCTGTTGTTCAGTTCTGAAATGGAAATCAAAGTAGGGAAAATACTGCATGGCCCCCAGGAACCAAGGCTGAATGCAGCAAAAGCAAACTCTGCCTGCAACCACACCACTGCAGCCCATGGGGGGGACCTAAACCAACACAGCCTACAACCCTCCTTGTATTGGGAAACTGTTTACTTTTTTGGAGAAATGTGTCTCTGAGTGGGCATTCAGTTCTGTTTCCAGAATATGTGTTGCCTTTAGCACCTGAAAACAGTGTAGGTCCTTTGGTGTCAGCAGTGACATGGAGCACTTGAAGTGCTTTTAGAGTATGCCCTGCCATTTCCTTGCCTGGCCCTAAAGAAGTGTTTTTTAAGCTCATGGTTGTAGGTAACAAACTGCTCTATTGTCATGTCATAGGGGTTTGAAGTACTGCTATTAAACAGATGAGCACATGGCTGTACTTGAGCACCTGGCTTGTGGTTTGCAATGACTGAGCAACAACCGATAAGCTTCAGTGAGCTCCTTCTGATCTGCACTGTGCTTGAGTCAGTCCTAGTGCCTCCCAGTCAGCCTGACCTCTGACACTTCCA